GCAGCACTCCCCACCTCTGACAGCTCTCCTTCCTCAGGGAGCTAGCTTCTCCCCCACACTTGTCTGGGAACAGGTTCGTGCCCCAGCGCTTCATTGATTCGGAGTGAAGGGTGGGGCTCCAGACCCTGGGTCAGTGACTAAAAGGAGCGACAGGACGGGGCCCTTCCGGGACACCTGAGGCTGAGGACCAGGGTCGGGCCGGCCCTTCCCTGATCCTCCTCCAAGGTCTTGCCCTAAGCCCGCACCCCAAGGCCAGGCTGGGCTGAAGGCCACCCAGGAGCGGGGACAACCTGCGGAGGGGAGGCTGCTTTGGGGGTCAGGGTCAGCCCCGGGTTAGGGTCAAAGGTCGGTTGCCAGGAGGGCCCAACAGGGAGCAGGAGGGACTTGACAGGCACCGGACCGGATGTTCCGAGGGGGGCCCCCGGGGCTGGTGAACCGAGGCGCCGCTCCACCGCCCCGGGCCCAGCCTCCCCGCCCCACGCAGCCTCAGCATCTGCCCTCCCTCCCTCTCCCCGCTCCCCCGCCCGCCCGCCACCCCCGGCGTCCCCTCGGCGAGCACAGGCCCCGCCCCCGGCGCCGCCACAGGGCCGAGGCCTAGTCACAGCAGGACCCGCGGGGGCTGGCCAGGTCCGGAGCCCGGTCCGGGCCCGCGCCGCTTACCGAGCCCCCGACTCCTCCACCACCACCCGCGCCGCTCCCGGGCGCGCTCGCTCCCGAAGCCACCGACGCCGCCGCTGCTCCGGGCTCACGGCGGCGCTCCCGACCTCCCCGACCCTTCCCCAGGCCCACAGCGCCCCGCTGGGTCCTAAAGCCCGCCGGCCGAGAGCTTCGTCCACACCCTGAGGCAGGCTCAGACCACGACTCCCAGCAAGCATCACAGACAACAACTCCCAAGATGCACCGCGAAAAAAAATTAACAAAAGAAATATCTATCTGAGGATCTGCGGGATGCAAGTTGCAATGTTTTTAAATATGGCAGGATCTGACTGTGGGTATACACTGGCAGAGTTGGAAAGGTGTATGTTCCAAGCTATTTATGGCAACTTTGTAAGCAAAGGATTGGAAATAAATTCATCTAACAAGTATGTATTGTGTGACTACTATGTGCAGAACATCGTGTAAGGCTGTTAACTTGGCAAGTAACCTGAGTCTATTTTTGCGTACGCAAAATGGAAGATTAAAAAATATATACTGGGCCTTGCAGGTGTGGCTCATTGGTCGAACATCGACCTATGAAGCTGGAGGTCATGGTTCGATTCCCTGTCAGACGGAGCACATGTCAGGGTTGCAGGCTCAAACCCCAGAGTGGAAAAAAAAATTTTTTTTCAAAGAAACAACAAAACCAAATGGGTCCTGCAAGAGGCAGCTGATCAATGATTCTCTCTCATTATTGATGTTTTTCTCTCTCCCTCTCCCTTTCTCTCTGAAATCAATAAAAATATATATTTAAAAAAAAAAAAAAAAAGATATGCTGGGCCCAGGTGGAGTGGCTCAATTGGTCGAAAATCATCCTGTGCATGTTCGATTCCCAGTCAAAGGCACATACCTGGGTTCCATCCCTGGTGGGATTCTCTCTTTTTTTTTTTTTTTTTTTTTTTTTGCCTTTCAGCATAATGATTATTGCTTGTCTTTTTTTTTTTTTTAAATCAATCTTTATTGTTCATATTATTACAAAGGTTCCTCATTTCTTCCCCCCTCCACCAGGTTCCCACCCCACCCTCCGCCCCCTCCCCATCCCCCATTGTCCTCATCCATAGGTGCACAGTTTATGTTCAGTCTCTTCTTCCCTCCCTTTCCCCAATAGTAAATCCCTTTTCAGATAGTAAATCTGTTACTTAGCATTTTCTCATATCAATAATACCTCCACATGCCCAATGATACACTTCACACAAAAGACATTTCCCAATAGGTCCACCAGCCTCATCCAGGCCCCACCCAAGGCACTCACAGATCAACACCCCAGTCCTAAACTAACTCAACACATCCAGATCTAAGCCTTCATCACTTGATTCAGCAGACCCTCAAGTTCCCACGAAAGTTTCCAGCCATGTCTGAGAGGCAGCCGTGGGGCAGGGGCAGGCGAGGAGCGAGCTGTTCTGGGCCTGGCTGCTCAGGGCCTGGCCTCTGTTGCTCTGGTTCGTTCCACAACCAGCTGCTCAGGGTCTGGTCACTGCCGCTCCCGACCTAGTTGCTCTGGACTTGGCTGCTGCTGCTCCGGCCTGGCCGCTCCCAGCCTGGCAGCCGCTGCTCCGGGCCTGGCCACACCTGACCCAGCTGCTCCCCTGGTGGGATTCTCTCTCTCTCTCTCTTTCTCTCTCTCTCTCTCTCTCTCTCTCTCTCTCTCTCTCTCTCTCTCTCTCTTTTTCTTTCTAAGCCTGTCCTTGGGTGGAGATTGCAAAAAAGATATGCTGGGCAGTAACTTCAATGATTTTATGGAACTGAGCAGATATAAATATTTTGGAGCCATTTGGCTTAGTGGTAATGGTTCAAATCACACAAGAAGAGAAGGAATGACCTAGGAAGAAGTTTAAAAATGGGATCAAAATAGAATTTAAAACACCTACGTTAAAGAATGGTGGAGGGCCCTGACTGGTTTGGCTCAGTGGATGGAGCGTGAGTCTACGGACTGAGGGGTCCCAGGCATATACCTTGGTTGCAGGCACATCCCCAGTGGGGGGTGCAGGAGGCGGCTGGTTGGTGTTTCTCTCTCATCAATATTTCTATCTCTGTCCCTCTCCCTCTCTCTCTGTAAAAAAAAATCATTAAAAATATCTTTAAAAAAATAAATAAATAAAAAAGAATGGTGGAGGAAGATGAACCAATAGCAAACAAAATTCTGGCGATAGAAAAGAGGAAATTGAGCCAGCACCGGTTTGGCTCAGTGGTAGAGCGTCGGTCTGCGGACTGAAAGGTCCATGGTTCGATTCCGGTGAAGGGCATGTACCTTGGTTGCGGGCACATCCCCAGTAGGGGGTGTGTGAGAGGCAGCTGATCGATGATTCTCTCTCATCAACGTTTCTAGCTCTCTATCCCTCTCTCTTCCTCTCTGTGAAAAATCAATAAAAATATATTTAAAATAAATAAATAAATAAATAAATAAATAAATAAATAAAAGAAAAGAGGAAATTGAGAGGGAAAAGATGCTGTGGAAACCACAGGAGGGGATTTCAGGTAAGTAGTTGTTTAAGAAAGGAATGGAAGAAAACATGGAGGCAGCAAATGCTAGAGGATCTTTGCAAGAAACTTGTCTGAGCCCAGACCGGTTTGGCTCAATGGATAGAGCGTCAGCTTGGGGACTGAAGGGTCCCGGGTTCGATTCCTGTCAAGGGCATGTACCTTGGTTGCGGGCACATCCCCAGTAGGGGATGTGCAAGAGGCAGCTGATCGATGACTCTCTCATCGACGTTTCCAACTCTCTATCTCTCTCCCTTCTTCTCTGTACAAAATCAATAAAATATATTTAAAAAAAAAAAAAAAGAAACTTGTCTGAGAGGAAAGAGAGAGGGAACAATAGGGCTAAAGTAATAAGGATGAAAGAGTGACTTCTAAGACAGGACAAATGGGAGTGTTTCTATGATGAGAGCAAGAGCAGAGAATGAGCATTCGGGGCAGGCTTTTCAAATGCAACTCAGTCAGATCTAATTTTACTTTATTTGAATACAGTTGATATGGTGGTTTTGATTCAATGTAAAATGAGCAATTGCTAACTATGGGAAGCATGTCTTTCTCCACCAGGAGAACATAACTGAATAAAGAGAAGAAAAACCAATAAAAATAAAAATAAAAAAAAGAGGAGAGAATGAACCTGATGTAGTAGAAATGGATGCAGGTTCTCTGGGAATTTGTGGGGGAACAGAGGGAGGAGCAGAACTCATGAAGAGGGACTAGACTTGGAGGGAGGAGGAATACCGATCAAATCACCTGAAAAGGTAATTGGAGGTGGAAAGAGCCTCTGCATATCAACTTGTAGGTGTTGCAGAGAAATTACACACAGAGTCAGTGCTTCTAACGCATGTTTTAATTATTTTTTTTCTAGCAAGCTGTTAGTTTTAGTGGTGAATTGTTGATAAAGTACTTTCGTATACTGACTCTGGACTCAGGTTACCTGTGGTTGAAAGCCCACCTCTACCTCTACTGTTTGATAGCTGTGTGACCTTGGTCAATTTACTTAATCTCTCTGTGCTTTTTATTTATTTTTTTTAAATATATTTTGATTTTTTACAGAGAGGAAGGGAGAGGAATAGAAAGCTAGAAACATCGATGAGAGAGAAACATAGATCAGCTGCCTCTTGCACGCCCCCCACTGGGGATGTGCCCGCAAACAAGGTACATGCCCATGACCGGAATCGAACCTGGGACCTTTTAGTCCGCAGGCCGACGCTCTATCCACTGAACTAAACCGGTTTCGGCCCTCGGTGCTTTTTATTTTCTTTATCTGTAAAAGGGGCTTGTCATATGGAAGTATTAGCTAGTATAATCATTTTCCATTAAATTGTCACCTCTAGGGGGATGAGGGCTTCTCTTTTGCTCAGGCCTGTCTACTCAGAGTTAAGTGCTCAATAAAACTTCATGAATAAATGAGTGAATAAGCTGGGGTGAGAGGGTGAGGCTTCGAGGGAAGGAAAGCCTTGGGGAAGAAGGATGCTTTCCGTTCAGGGCTCAGCGGGACGGGCATACCAACTCCTGAGTCAGATTCTGGCCACTTCGCGGCTCCCTACATCCCAGCTCAGAGAAAGCGTCTCCAGGGACTGCGAGGTCAGCGGCGCAGCCACCGGGGAGCTCGGGGTGCTCCGGGAGCTCCTCCCCGCGGCTTCCGTGACTCCTCCCCGGGCGAGCCCTGGGCTGGCCGGCGGGCGGGGCGGGGCGGGGCCGCGGAGACCTTGAGGCCGGGCCTCCGCCCACCTCATCGGCCCGGGACGGAAGTCTCCGCTCCTCCGCCCACCTCCCCGGCTAGGCACCCGCGGCCCAGCGCGGGGCCTCGCCCCCGGGCAGCCGGCACCATGAAGCGGGCGGCGACCCTGCGCCTGCTCTCGGACCTGAGCAGCTTCAGCGGCGCGGCCCGGCTCCGGGAGCTCCTGGCTGCGGACCCAGCCGTCCGGGTCCGAGTCCGCGGCAGCCCGGACGGCCGCCACCTGCTGCTGCTGCGCCCCCCGGGGGCGCCGGCCCCGCAGCTGCTGGTCGCGGTGCGTGGACCCGGCGAGGAGCTGGAGCGCGCCTGGCCGGCGGGCCACCCGTCCCCGACGGACGCCTTCTTCCTGCCGTGGCCCGTGCGCCCCGCGCTGGTGCTGGTGTGGGAGAGCGGGCTGGCCGAGGTGTGGGGCGCGGGCGTGGGGCCTGGCTGGCGGCTGCTCCAGAGCACCGAGCTGTGTCCCGGCGGCGGGTCCCGCGTGGTGGCCGTGGCGGCGCCCCGAGGCCGCCTGGTGTGGTGCGAGGAGCGGCGGGCGGATGCCGAGGACCGGGCACCGCCGCCCCGCGCCGCGGCTTCCAGCCACTGCGTGTGCGTCCGGACCCTGGAGCCCGGCGGGGAGGCCGGCACCAGCCTGGGCCGCACCCGCATCCTTCTGCACCACTGCCCCCCTTTCAGGCTGCTGGCCTCCCGCAAGGACCTCTTCCTGGTGCCCGCGGCCACCACCTGGCCCGGCGTGAGCCACCTTCTGCTCATCTGGAGCCCAGGGAAGGGGAAGGTGACGGTGGCCGCCCCAAGCCTTCGCCTCTCCTACAGTAAGAGCCTGAATCCTGGACGAGGAGACACGTGGGACTTCCGGACCCTGCTCCGAGGTCTTCCTGGGCTGCTGTCCCCCAGGCAGCCATGGGCTGTCCATACCTGGGCCCCAACTCCCCAGGGCCTGCTGTGGCTTGACTTCCGGGGCACTGTGAGCCTGGTGCAGCCCCACGGCGGCACCCGGGCTGTGGGCACCTTGCAGGAGGCCCCTGTAGGCCTCGCAGGGTCTGCAGCCCTGGGAACGTTTCATGGCACGCTAGCCTGTGTGCTGGGCTCCACGTTGGAACTGCTGGACATGGGCAGCGGGCAGCTGCTGGAGAGGAAGGTCCTCAGTACAGACCGAGTCCATTTGCTTGAACCCCTAGCGCCTGGCACAAAAGGTGAGGAAGAGACGGAGCCCCGAGGAGGGGGTCTTCGTTTGCTTTCAGCCTTGGGTCTGTTTCAGGTAGTATGGGAAGCCCCACCGACGCTTGAGCTACCTTCGGCTGAAGACCTGGTGTTTGAGGAAGCCTGCGAGTACTACCAACGGCGGAGCCTGCGGGGCGCCCAGCTCACCCCAGAGGAACTGAGACAGAACAATGTCTTCCGGGCACCTCAGGCCCTGGCCTCCATCCTCCAGGGCCACGTGTCCCCATCTACCCTGCTGACCACCTTGAGGGCGGAGCTCCGCGATTACCGGAGCTTAGAGCAGCTCAAAGCCCAGCTGGTGGCTGGGGATGAGGAGGAGGCTGGCTGGACGGAGCTGGCAGAGCAGGAAGTGGCACGGCTGCTAAGGACTGAGTTGATAGGAGACCAGCTGGCCCAGCTCAACACCATTTTCCAAGTCCTTCCTACAGCAGCCTGGGGTGCCATCCTCAGGGCTCTGCAGCTCCAACCGGATGGGAATGGCAGGTTGAGGTCCCAAGCTCCCCCTGATGTGTGGAAGAAAGTCCTAGGGGGTACAGCAGTTGGAAAGGACCCCCCCAATGGGGTACTGCCCCTCTTCGAACTGCTGTGCCAGTGCCTCTGCCAGCTGGAGCCACGATGGTTGCCACCCTTTGTGGAGCTGGCACAGCAGCAGGGTGGGCCTGGTTGGGGGGCCGGGAGCCCAGGGCTTCCCCTGTATCGCCGAGCCCTGGCAGTACTAGGTGAGGAGGGGACCAGGCCTGAGGCACTAGAGCTAGAGTTGCTTTTGGGCAGTGGGCGGCCCAAAGCTGTGCTCCAGGCTGTGGGGCAGCTAGTGAAAAAGGGGCAGTGGGAGCGGGCCCTAGAGTCTGGCTTAGCCCTCGGCCCCTCCAGCCCCCTACTTCGAAGTGAGATCTTCAAACTGCTATTGGCCGAGTTTGCTCGGCACCGCCAGCTCGATGCTCACCTCCCCCTCCTGTGCCGCCTGTATCCACCAGACCTGGCTCCAGCTGAGCTCCTGTTGCTACTGCACACACATCTCCCCGATGAGTCGGAGCCCCCTAGCCCATTCCCTGAGCCTGGAGCAGAACCCCCTCTCACTGTGGGCTTGCTCAGAGCTCTGCTGGAGCAGACTGGGGCTAAAAGACAGTCCTCAGGCCCAGTTCTAAGCCTGTATGAGGACATCCTCCGGGACCCAGGCACTCCGCCCCCTACCCCACCTCGGGGACCTATGACTACCCTCCAGGCCTCAGACCACCCAGGGCCAGGGGCCTGGGCACCATCTAGACAGGACCTCTGTGTGACTGACACAGGCTGAAAATCCTTTCTATGACTAGAGAAGGATGCCTAAGAGTTGGAGAGGGCCAGGGTGGGACCAGTTTGTGCAATACTCTTCTCACTTCTGGAGCAATGTAAAAATATATACATATGTGTGTGTGTTAAATATCGTGGTAAAATAAATACGTTTGGTTTTCATCCTCAGGTTTTTATTCTGGTACAGAGCTCTCCTAAAACCCCTGGACTTTCCTGAGTGATAGGAACATCTTTTGTTATTCATAACGAGCTCCTTTAGATCACACCTGCCTGTCACCCGCAGCCTCTGAGGGGGCTGGTTGCCAGAAAGGCCAAGTGTTGAGAGGACTGGAACTTTCAGCCCCATTTCCAATCTCCTGGGGAGGCAGTGGGTTAGAGATTGAGCTCTATCTATAAAAACTGCCGAACAAGGAAATTTGAGCTTTTAGCTTGATGACTACATCAAGTTGCTGGGAGGGTGACACCTAGAGAGGGCATGAAAATGACAGGCACACACATCCACCCTGTGCCTGCCCTCTCTGCATCTCTTCCCTCTGGCTTTTCCTGAGTTGTATTTCCCAGAGTTCTGTGAGTTATTCTAGCAAATTATCAAACCAACTTATAAGATGGGAATTCCGCCGAGACCGGTTTGGCTCAGTGGATAGAACGTCGGCCTGTGGACTGAAAGGTCCCAGGTTTGATTCCGGTTAAGGGCATGTACCTTGGTTGCGGGCACATCCCCAGTGGGGGGTGTGCAAAAGGCAGCTGATCAATGTCTCTCATCAATGTTTCTAACTCTATCTCTGTAAAAAATCAATAAAAATATATATATTAAAAAAAAAAAAAAAAGATGGGAATTCCACCAGTGCCTTGCAACTGGCATTTAAAAAAAAAAAAAAGTCTATATCATTCATGCCCAGACAGTGTGGCTCAGTGATGAGTGTCACCCTATAAACCAGGAGGTCACGGTTTGACCCCCAGTGGGGGCATGCAGGAAGGAGGCAGCTAATCAATGATTATCTCATCACTCTCATCACAAAGATGTTTCTTTTTCCCTCTCCCTTCCTCTCTCTGAAATAAATAAAAAAAATTTAAATTTTTATCATTTTAGCCCTGGCCTAAATCTTTATCAATTAGGCATCTTCCCATGGACCAAAAGGTTGCTGGGTCAAATCCCAGTCAGGGCACATGCATGTGACTGGCATTTGAAAAGGGCACAGTCTTACCCTGTGAGACCTGAACTGACTCCAGGTAGTTAGTGTCAGAATTGAATTGACTTGTAGGACACCCAATTGTGTGTGTGTTGTGTATGTGTTCTACAAGAGAACTGATTGTTGATGTTGGAAAATACTCCAGAATTATAAACACAGCTTGTACATGCATGTTTTTTTAAAATATGTTTTACAGAGAGAGGAAGGGAGAGGGAGAGAGATAGAAACATCTATTGGCTTCTTCCTACATATACCCTTCTGGGATCAAGCCTGCAACCTGGGCATGTGCCCTGACAGGGAATCGAACCAGCAACCTTGTGCATGGGCCAATACTCAACTAACTGAGCCACACTGGCCAGGGCAGTTGGTGTGTTTTAGCTAAAGATATCAGAGGGTTGTGGATTATAGAGGGAGTTGTTGAACCTAAATCTGTTAACTAAAGTGGCCATTTCCAATCATGAAAATAATTAACACTTACAAACATTTAATATGCTGGTTTTTTAATAATTCCTCATTTGGAGACAAGATGGCAGGCTCATAGTGAGCAGACATCAAAGGATGAAAATAGGTATGCCTAGAAGCAAATTTTAAAAGCATTTTCTCTTTAAATCTTTTTCTATACCACTTGATAAGCATCTTGATTCACCATGGCTGTATCAGCAGTGAAATGGGCAATATCAAACAGAACTATTTTGAAACATTTATTTCTAATCCAAAATGGAGCTTTATACTGTGTTAGTCATAAATCCACATACTCTTCTCTTCCAGATGACTATAATTGCAAAGAAGAACTTGCTTTTACATCTGATGGCAGGACGATAGTTTGCTATCATCCTTCTGTGGATATTCCATATGAAAACACTAAGCCTATCCCTTAGCCAAATCCTATACATAATTATGAAGAAACACAGGACCAAATACTGAAAACCGGATTAGAAGAAAAAGATTAATACTTTGAGCAAGGACCATGATAGAACAACTTAGCAAAATGTTCTTTACTACTAAGCACCGTTGGTATTTTTATGGACAGTATCATACACGTCGTAGAAAATTGAATCCTCCAAAAGACAGATGATATTGAGGTTTTCGAAAGTAAAATGTTGTCCTGTTCTCATTTTCCATTTGAAAAAATGCAATCAGATATATTCACTGCTATGTTATATAGTAAAATAATAATAAAATGTCTTTTCATCTAAAAAATTAATTAAATAATTACTCATTTAATACTTCTGATAACCCAGGCAGGAAAGTAATAATAGTATCCCTATTTTACAGGTGATGAAATGCATTTAGAAATAGGAAATAAGGTTTAGAAAGATTATTGAGATCAGTCAACTAAAAGGTAGCAACTCTTTTTTTATAATATATGTTTGTTACTGATTTCAGAGAGGAAAGGAGAGGGAGAGAGAAATAGGAACGTCAAGGATGAGAGAAAGAGATTGGCTGCCTTCTGCACATTCCTACTGGGGGTTGAGCCCACAACCAGGACATGTGTCCTTGACCAGAATCGAACTCAGGACCCTTTAGTCTACAGGCTGACATTCTATCCACAGAACCAAACCAGCCAGGGCAATGTTTATTTGCTTTTAAAGTATGTTTTTTATTGATTTTAGAGAGGAAGAGAGAGTTAAAAACATCAATCAGCTGCCTCCTGCATGACCCCCACTGGGGAGTAAGCCCACAACCCAGGCGTGTATCTTGACTGGGAATTGAACCGGCAACTTCTTGGTGCGTGGGATAACATTCAACCAACTGAGCCTCGCCGTATGTGCTAAACTCCATGTTGAATACAGCTATCAGGAACTTTCCTTAGGAAGTATTCAGATGTGCCAGAATTTGATTCACACTGACCTGGGTGGTCAGGGGAAGACAGGGCGCTTCAAAGAATGAGAAAGAAGGAGACCCAAACCCCCCACCTCCCACCCCCAACTCCATAGGGAGCCACCCCAGGCTGGAATGCCTGACACTTCCTGGAGAGAAGGGAAGAAGAATCCTTGAAGTGGCTCCTCAAGTCTCCACTTATTCTCTTCCTATGCACAGGCTCCCCCTAGTGGTTCCTCCTGTCACCGCCAGCTGCACTCACTACCTTAAACCTGCAGGCATTTGACCATTTCTGAAGGACAGAGGAAGCCTCTGGAGGTGATAAATTAATGTTCTCGAAGGGTAAGAATGGAGGAAGGGGAAGAGAGGTGGGAAGGGGAGGGAAAAGGAGAGTGAAGGGTGGCCTTCACCAAGCATGAAGGTGGTGCCCTGGCCAGTGTGGCTCAGTTGGTTGGGTGTAGTCCTAGCCCTCTTTGAGTTAAAGGTGAACGATGAACAATGATACACTAAGCTAACAAAAGTTGCTGGTTTAATTCCCAGTCAGGGCACATGCCCTGGTTGCAGTCTTGATCCCCAGAGTGGGGTGTGCAGGAGGCAGCCAATCAATTATTCTCTCTCATCACTGATGTTTTTCTATCTCTTCCTCTCCTTCCTCTCTCTCCGAAATCAATAAAAACTTTTTTTTTTAAGTCACATTCATGGTAGAGGCTGAAACAGCAATTAAGATTGCCATTTGGGGCCGTTGTCTCTTTCTAACGGTATCCTTTAATATTTTTTGTAATAAACTGGCAATCTAGTAAGTAAACTGGTTTCTTGAGTTTCGTGAGCTGTTCTGGCCAATTAATCAAACAGATGAGGGTGATGTCCTTCCCTCTCATGAGAATGTTCAATGTACAGCCAGTTAGTCAGAAGCACAGGTAACAACCTGGACCTGTGATGGATGTCTGAAGTGGAGGTCTGTCTTGTAAGATGGAAACCTTCACCTATGGGATCTGAAATAATTCTCCAGGTAGATAGTGTCAGAATCTAGGTGAATTATAGGACACCCAGTTGCTGTCAGATAATTGCTTGGTGGTGTTGAAGAAAATAGTGGCGATGGAGGGCATTCCACATTTGATCCCCAGCAAGGGCCTGAAATCAGGGGGGGGAGGGAAGAGACAGGATAACAAACCACCAGAGAGCTGAAACCGGTTTGGCTCAGTGGATAGAGCGTCGGCCTGTGGACTGAAAGGTCCCGGGTTCGATTCCGGTCAAGGGCATGTACCTTGGTTGCGGGCACAACCCCAGTAGGGGGTATGCAAGAGGCAGCTGATCAATGATTCTCTCTTATCCATGTTTCTAATTCTCTATCCCTCTCTCTTCCTCTCTGTAAAAATCAATAAAATATATATTAAAAAAAAAAAAAAAGAAAGAAAAGAAAACCACCCCTGCAGGCTCTTTCCACCTCACCCAGGAAGTTGGATTGGATTTTTCTAGTGAGCTTCCATCCACAGAGAGTATTTATATCCATGTCCTGGGAGGTACTGTTTATATCCCTGTCCAGGCGGGTAGAGGGCACAGGGTCAGGATACCAGGAATGAGGGAAAGTTGGGGGAAGAGGGTTTCCTGCCCAGAAATGATCCTAGGGAGAAGAGCCAGAGAAATGAGGTTGGGTAGGCTGGGGTCAGTCACCTGTGACTGTGATTCCGGGAATCTGACACTCCTGTGGGTGTGACTCGGGCTCTGGGAGGCTGGGATTCTGGAGTGGGGGGTGGGATCTGAATCTGGCCCAGAGGGAAATTCCTAGGGTGGAGGAAGAGTTAAGTCTACTCTGTGCCTCCGGATGAACTTAAGGGAGGAGAGGTTGCACTTGTTATTTCTGAGGGAGTAACTGCTGTAGGAAATGGCTTCATATAGCTGCTTATTGTTTATAGACTGCAGATGTTCCAGCTCCTAGGGAGACAAGGCAGAAGGGGAAAGCTAGAATTAGGTTGGGAGGGTAGGAAGGTGGGGG